CCCATGGAGCCTCTGTGGCTTTATTTTGGTAATTACTAATATTTCACAGCTGGGTTGAAACCTGGATTTAACCTTATCCAGGCTGTGCTGTGAACACTTCTGAGAATGTTGAAAATACACCTCAAAGTTCACAGTTACAGAAATACTCCGTGTGTCGCCTCCAGACCCGTCCCCCACCCACCAACACCCCGCCTCAAGGAAAATCCCAGCAGGATTAGCAGGGTTTAGACACAGTTTCTTCCACCCCAAACAACCTTTCCAGGTCTCAGCTGAAAATAGCCAGTTTGCCTCCATGCTGAGGTTGCAGTGGAGGGAGACAGAGACGAACTAACAAAATCAGGTTGCCCTTAGAAACACATTTGTATTGGGCAGAAGAATTGATTGGGGTTTTGTGGCGTTGGCTCGCGCGTGGGTCTTGCCAGCCCCGGGAGCTCTGTGCCAGCAGGAGACGCATGGGGTGAGGCGAGGTCTGCGATGATTTAGTGCGGGTGAGCTGTCTCAGTGCTGGGTAATTTAGAGATGCAGAACTGAGCCTGGAAGTAATGAGCTCTGGCTAATTAGGTGCTTGTCTGCAGGTGGAACTATTGCAGCTGGTGCTCCCAGTATTGCTGGTTTGTGTTTGAAAGCATCATGGAATCAGTGGGATGTGGGGAATATGGATAATTTGCAACAAAGGGATTTTTTTTTCTGCTACCTTCCTCCTAAGCCCCCAATTTTCCTTTGGCATTCACATTTGGCTTGACTGTGAGATTATCACACATGGACCAAAGATGGAGGGGAAAGGGGCTTTTTATACAGGCAAATACTGAGAGGACAAAGGGGAATGGCTTTCCACTGCCAGAGGGCAGGGATAGAGGAGATACTGGGCAGAAACTCTTCCTTTTGAGGGTGGGCAGGCTCTGGCACAGGGTGCCCAGAGCAGTTGTGGCTACTTCATCCCTGGAAGCGTCCAAGGCCAGGTTGGATGGAGCTTGGAAGTGAACTGGGATAATGGAAGGTGTCCCTGCCCATGGCAGGTGTGGGACTGGATGAGCTGTGAGGACCTTCAGAACCCAAACCAGTCTGGGATCCTGGGGTATTTTGTGGAATGGATATTTAAAGGGATGTAAGTCGGAGGATTTGGAGACGTGCTCAGGTACAAACAGGACGTGCACTGTGGCTGTGGCTGCTGCAGACAGAGAGGATGGGGATGTGCCAGGTGGGCTCTGCCCCTGAACTTGGGCCGCACACTCGGACGTGCCAACGCCCGCGTCCGCAGATTCCAAAACGTGGCGGGACTCCTGAAGGGAGAGGAGCAGGACTCTGAACAGCGGCAAGATGCTGGGGGCAGAGGGAGACAGCTTGCTGTTCAGTGAGCTTTAGAAGGTCACATTTTCCTTTCAAGCTGCAGTTTTCAACCGTGGAAAGTTTGTTTTCCAACAGGCATTGAGGTTCATTGGGATTTGTGTGCTCCTTCTCTTTGGAAAGCTCTCCCTGTTCCCATTGAGCTCCGTGCATTGTGTGGCAGACAGCAGGGAAAGGCAGTGTTTGGGATTATTTGGAAGCTGGTGCTGAGATTAATGATACATAATTAGGTAAAAAGCTCAAGATGTATTTTGAGGCAAGTTTTGTTACAAGGAGAGTGTTCATTTAGAGCATGCAATAAGCTGGGATAAGCTGGGAAAGCCTCACTGTAACATTTGGATCCGCAGCTTGGGGAGAATGATTTAATGAGGAGCACTTAATGCAGAGGGATGGACAGGATGATAACTTCCAGTTATCTCAGAGTTCAGTTGGGGAGCAAAGAACGAGTCCTGCAGTCAGGGATTTTGAACAAGGCAATAAAAGAGTGGTGAAACATCAACAATATTTATGTAAGTGTATTTCTGGTACAAAAGGAGAAGATAAATACCTTATTTAAGGTTTTGTTCCGAGTATAAAATAGCCCATAAACAAGAATTTAAAGAGAGTCCACTGATGCAGTTTAATACACAAAACGCATGAAGGATTAAAGAGGTTGTTTGTACAAACACTTCATTGATCCACTTAAAATTTATATGTCTGATAAATGGCAGTTGGACTGTGAACACTGACTACACATGTGGCACCAAGGAGCTTTATACTGGGCCATAAAATGTTGAAACAAGCTTAATAATGGCTTTTGCCATCGGATCCTTCTGGGGATAAGGGGATAAGTCGTTCTGGAAAGTGGCAGACCCTGAAGGTTTGCATCTCTTGACAGGGATGATGTACTGCTCTATTAAAAATCTCAGTACTTTTAAACCATGAACCCCATTTTTGCCACTTTGCAAACACTTTTTATTGTGTTCTTTTGTTTTTAAAACATTTGACTTGCCAGAAATAGTCCTTAGATCAGAATTAATTATTGGTGTAAAGCTGCCATGAGCTTTTAAGGAATTCCTCACCTGCAGCTCTTAACCTTGACCGTATTCCTGAGTGCTCATGCCAGCAAAAAATTGTACTTGTTTTTCCCTGGAATAGTAACAATAAACACCAAACACTGAAACACCAGTGCCTCCCTGGAGCTTGACCTGTATAGTCAGGGCTCAGAATTGTGCTTTGTTTTGACATCCCATCACGTTGTGCAAGAGGGGTTGCATCCAGCTGAGAAAAAGGAAATAAAAGCACTCTTTTCATACAGAGGCCACCTCATTCCTTAAGACTCAGCCAAAGAACCTGATCCCTTGTTGGTAATCCACTAGCAAAAAAAACCCTGAACAGACAAAAAACCCCACCCAAACACGCCCTAAAATAAAATGCAATCTCTGAAGGAAGTGAGATGGGATGTGTCGTTGGATGGAGGCAGGGGATGGTTAGGGAGGGTAGGCATTTTATTAGGTGGGGTCTTTAAATGTTTTCCAAAGTTATGTTGCTCTTGATTTTTGTAATATTAATTAGCTCTCATCTGTTATGAGCAAGAGCAGCTCAGCTGTGAAGGGTCAGGGTGCTCAAGTCCTGTAAGAGCTGAAAATGTGGAGGTGACAGAGAATGGGGGAAATCAGCATGGGTTTCTGTAATTAGGGGCTGGATTCTGCAGATACACAGGAGGATTGAATTATGGTCACCCAGGCAACATCAATCCTGCCTTTCCCTAAGTTTGGAGTTACTTGCTTTGTAACATGAATTTTATTCTTCCTGGGAAGAAGTCAGTTTGGTTTTCGCATTTCAGCATGGAAAGATGATGACACTGTTTTGATCTTATATATTTTCATTTTTCCCAGTTAATGTGTCACTTGGTGGAGTTTGCTTTGGGATATTGTTGTTGTTTAGTCTTCTAAAGGCTGTAGTTTGCTTTGCCAGCATTCCTTCCTCAGGCTTCTGAAACGTGATCTGTCAAAAGAGGGATTGATTTAGAAGGGAAAATTGATTGCTGAAGTAGTTGCTAAGTAAAGGAATCTGTGGTACTACATTTGGGAGTAGCAAGATGAAAGCTGAGGGGAAACAAGCTGCAAAATTTCCTGCTGAGGAGTTTGTGCTGAGATTTAATTCTTCTGATAGAGAGCACTGATGCTTTCTGAACTCCTCATTCATTGCCGTGAAGCTTTCCAAACCACTCTGTGCTGCGGAGTTCATCTTTTTCCTTTACCCTTTCCTTTACAAGCTTGGCTTGATTATTATCCCCTGTCTACTTGCTAGGAGGAGCGTGATGCTGCCTCCCATCCCTTTTCCTGTGCGTGCACAGCACAGAAGTCGGGGAAGCAGCGAGATGGCAGCGGGGTTGTGGTGCTCAGGTCCCAAAT